CTAACATAATATTTATTTATAAATATAATTAATTATAAATTTTAATTATATAATAAATATTTTATCCATACATTAGACATGTAAAATACTAATGATCAAATAATTTATGTTAAAAAACTTACACAACGCATTTGTAGAAATTGAAAGATGTAAATGACATAAAACATCATATTCTCTCTCTTTCTATTCTTTATTATAAGAAGAGAAAATTAATTTTATGCATATTAAAAAATATTTATCATTAAATTTAACCACTTCCATATAATTCTTTATAAATTGTTATTGTTATAAATATTAAATAAAATAATATAAGTGAAAAATCATGTATTAAAATAATGATATTTTTGAGAAAATATTATTAAATAATTTAAAAATAATTAAATATATTTATATTTAAAAATAAGAAATATTTTTTTTAGCAGAACACAGCGAAAGTATATTTTCATAATTCTTTTATAAATTCACATGACCAAAAAAGTATAAAACGAGTGTAAAAAACAAAATAAAGCATATTTTTGCGTGTCACATTTGGTATGGCTATTTAATTTGAGTTGAATGAAAAGATTTTCTTAAAAGTACCAAACACCGACCCATGTTTCCCTCCGCAGCGGGGACAAATTCTACACGCACGCACGCACTCGTCGATTGACCCAACGCGAGTTACGGAAAGATATTTTTTTATCTTTCTTCTTATCACATTTTTTTTAAGGTCAATTGGATTCCAATAATTCACTACAATTAACACAAACATTAAGATTCTATTAAATGTACAAAAGTATTTAGAAAATACTAACCTAGTTAGAGAATAAAACCACATAATTTTTATATTAAAAAATATTACGGTATACTCTCACCTTTAATGCAATTTTTTGCAATTTTTTATTTAATTTTAGAATGCTAATTAGAGAAATCTTTATTTTTTTTATTATTCATATGTATTATTGGTTAAAATTTATTAAAAAAACATTTTAAAATAAATTTATTTTTAAATCAGAATATTGAATAAGAAATGAAACCTGATATTTTTTATAATAAAATTTACTTAATCATAAAGAGTGTACTAAGAATAAAATTTTACATAGAGTAGAGTATACCTCGTGTTGCAAAGTACTAGTAATCTAGTACTAGTAGTTATCAAAAAACAAACGTTAATGTTACAAGTACAAGAAAGAGGACAAGAACATGCATGCAAATTGCAAAAGCAGATGAAAGCAATGCAAGTCAGCACACCGACCAGCTGACTCAGTCCCAGTCAGCTCCCAACCCACGGCGTTCAAACATCGACCGTCTTATCGCTATTGGCTACATAACAACAACCACTTCATTTCCTTATTTTAATTAACATTTCAAAATCCTCAAGCTCCCACTGATTTTTCAAACTTTCAACGTTCAACGTTCAAACAATAATCCCAAGTCCTAACGCACACGCTCAAAAAAAAAAAAAAAAAAAAACCTCATTCCTCTCTCACCTTTTCCTTCATTTGACACATTCTCTTTGAACTATTCCTCCCTCACGGTCTTACCTTGCTGGCTTTGACCCGTGTACCACATGCACATATATATATTCCCACAACCTCCTTTCCTTCATCACATTCACATTCACCACACACAATACAATTCTTCTATACCTAGAAACAACCGAAACAATTATTATTATTATCATTAAAGCAAAATGGTTCTGTCATGGACAAGAGGGAGAGTGTTCCGGCGTGCCCGGAAGGGCAAAGAGTTGAACTCCGGTGGCGATTTGGAGATAGAGATTGCGATTCCCACTCACTTCCGGTGCCCGGTAACCTTGGACATGATGAAGGACCCTGTGACCGTGTCCACGGGGATAACCTACGACAGGGACAGCATCGAGAAGTGGATCGAATCCGGGAACCGCACGTGCCCGGTAACCAAAACGGAGTTGACCAACTTTGACATGATCCCCAACCACGCCATTCGGAGGATGATTCAGGATTGGTGCGTGGAGCACCGTTCCTACGGGATCGAACGGATCCCCACTCCTCGGATCCCGGTTTCCCCGTACGAGGTAACCGACACGTGTACGAGGATCCTGTCGGCGGCTCAAAATGGGGACGAGAACAAGTGCGTGGAGTTGGTGAGGAAGGTTAAGGCGTGGGGGAAGGAGAGTGAGAGGAACAAGAGATGCATAGTGGCTAATAACGCTTCTCTCGCGCTTGCTAATGCGTTCAACTCTTTCTCCTCACGCGGGTTGGTTGAGATTGAGAAGAACGTGGTTGCGTTGGACGAGATTCTTGGGGCGTTGACGTGGATGCGTCCTCTTTCCGAAGAGGGAAGATCCGTGTTGGGTTCAGCGAGTTCCATTGCTTGCATGGTTTGGTTCATGAACGGTAAACAATTGTCCACGAGGCAGAACGCTGCTTTGTTGCTCAAGGAGATGCGTGTTGAGGCTTTGGTCAATAGTGTGGGAGTTTTTGAGGCTTTGGTTAACATGGTTAAGGAGCCTCTGGGGAGTGCTTCCACCAAGGCATGTTTGTCAACGATTTTCAACTTGGTTTCTTCTAGCAGAGGTGTGACATGTGAAAGGTTTGTTGAGTTGGGTTTGGTTCCGCTCTTGTTGGAGATTCTTGTTGACGCGGAGAGAGGGGTGTGTGAGAAGGCTTTGGGAGTGTTGGATTGCGTTTGTGATTGCAAACAAGGGGTGGAGGTGGCGAAGGCTAATGCTTTGACTTTGCCTCTTGTGATTAAGAAGCTGTTGAGGGTGTCTGAGTTGAGTTCAAGCTTTGCGGTTTCGATTCTTTGGAAGGTTTGTGATAAGAACGAGGAAGGGGTGTTGGTTGAGGCGCTTCAGATGGGGGTGTTTCATAAACTCCTTGTTTTGTTGCAAGTGGGGTGTGGTGAAGGCACTAAAGAGAAGGCTACTGAGTTGTTGAAGTTGTTGAATGGTTGCAGGAGCAAAGCCGAGTGTGTTGATTCATCCTTGGATTTCAAGCACTTGAAGAAGCCATTCTGATTGATCTGCTATAGAATGAGATTCGATTTCCATTTTTGTATAGGTTAAATTGTAGACACAGAATATACTCTTTTGTACAAAGACACACAAACAGTCTTATACGGATGATACAAATTGTATCTTTAACACTCAATTGAAGTTTTGAAATTCATTCTTTTTGTGTGAAATTTTATTTTAGAGACATATACAAAGATGCCAAAAGCTTGTAGGCTTTTAATTCACAAATTCACAACCAGAATGGAATAAATTGTTTCAGTTTATTATGCCAACCGATTGACGATGGTATGTATGTGTTGATTATTGCTTAAGGATTCCTTAAAGCATCGTCAATGATTGATAGTGTCCTATTAATCTAAGATATTTGATCCATAGGATAGGCTATTCAAAGTGAAAAACAAATGGAAACGAACTTACAAATATACTGTTTTGCAACTTTCTTTGGGTAAACACAAAGCAATGCTAGAATCAAGAGTTCACTTACATGAGAAAAACTTGACGAGATTCAAAGTGGCACGATATATAGGGAAAAAACAGCCAACAACTTAGCCCAAAAGTTCTTGAGGGATTTTTACACCATGGGTTATGAGGCCTTTGCTCCCCCAACGATATCTCCTTCCTTGGTGGTTTTCCATAATTCAACTTTTCAACATTTTTCTTTAGTATACCTTGGTTTATTACAATAAGTGCACCATAAATTTTTCCTTTTACAATAACTTCTGTTCAGTTACCATTGAATCCTCTATGTTTTGAGACTCAAGTAAAAAAATCCTTCTACTTTATTATGCACGAACTATAAAAATATATTGCTTTTTCTAAGGAAGATATATGTCCTTATTAAAAATTTGAATCCAAACTTGGTTAAATTCAAGATTCAAACCAGGAAAAAAAATCATTTACACATTAATTATTTGCAATAAAGTTCAATATTTAATGCATTTTATATCAAACACATAATAATAATCCAACTCTTGCCACAAATTTTATAAGGTGTTAGTATATGCTTTATTATTGGCCTCAAGAATGTGCGAGTATCACTATTTGTATGTTTTATAAAATCTCATAACTAAGATATTATTTTAGTGTTCCAATCTAATAAGTCATATATAGTGTGTCATTCTTGTATGAACCCAAAGCTAGAAGATGAGAAAGTCATTTTTTCCCCTTGATAAAGGTCACCAAGTTGGAACCATTGAGATATTTCTTTTCATTGAGGCAATAAGTTTGAAGAATAGGTAATTCTCTAGTTTGTTTTTTTGATCGAGTCGGACTCTTCACCATGGTTGTTGGTAACGTGTTTTATTTCATAACAAATTAATTTTTCATGTTTTTCATACTTAGTTTGCATCGATTCATTATTAATTGATTAAGGTTTAGCATATATTAATTCTTTGTTTTTCTGTTTTTAGGACTTTTTACACTTTCGTAATTTTTTTCTGCATAAGATAGCTTTTCTACAAGTGGTTCTAACCAAGACATTTAAAATTTGAAGACTTAGAGATGGTCGCATGATGTGGGAGATCCCTACAATAGTGTAAGCACAAAGTCTGATCAACTCTAAATCACTCCAATAGTGAGCGTAACAACGGTGTAGGACTCTCTGATCTTCTGAATTTTTCCTTTGGTTTGTCTAATTCTTGGCTATAGTTAAGAGTGTGTGATTGTGATGGTTAGAGACCTTAAAGGTCTGTGATTGTGATGGTTAGACACCTTCAAACATATTTCACTCATAATTGATATAGCTAGGAATGCATATAATATATATTTTTCCTAATAAAGAAGAGATTCTTTCCGTTACATACCCTCATTTGATAAGGTTGAAGTTTGTTGAAAAATCATCATAAGTCCCAAGGAGTTTTTGACGACGGTCAAACTCGGTAGTTACATTCAAATATTAACAATTTATCTTATTATTCTGTATCTTAATAAATATTTACATTTGTAAAGTGGTTTCTTTTGTAATTTAAAATCAATGTCTTTCTAAGGAAGGATAGTAATAATTAGTAACTTGGACCACAATGATGAAACAAAATTATGCTAATGAAATTTTTTTGTGAGTCGTATGACTGGTCAGTGCAAATGCCAAATTAACATATCCATTACAAGAAATTAATTTGTAATGATGAATAAAAGTTATTACTAACAGTTAAAATTTTGTAAATAAATATTTATTTTATTTTATATTGACCCACAGACCAGTTTTTAACAACAATTTTTTAGGTTTTATCTATGATAAATATCTATAAGTACATATATTTGAGTTTTCCCTTCACTAAATATTTATAGATAGAAATAATTTTTTATTTTATATATAGTTATCATGTATGTAAAAACATTTGTAGGTGTATTCATTTTTCTTGTAGTAAGTTATCATGCATTTTGAATGAGAAAAACAAGTTGAGTAGAAACGCTTCCGTTTCATCCGTAGCCTTGCTGTAATATTTATTTGTCTGTCTTCACTGAGTGTGTGAACTCATTCTGGACTAGCAAATTATTTTCCTGAGGTAATCCTTTCTCCATCCCCTTTTCCTATGCTTCTTGGCCATTAGTCAGATTCATCCCATTGAAATTAGATTTCTTCCTTAAACATCTTTTCATTATGAAACATTAACCTGATTTTTCATTTTAGTTTGCAAGAAGGAATGGTGAGTGCTTCATCCCCCACACAAGTGAACAAGGTATGTCCCCAGAAACATTTTCCTTGCATATTTTCAACAAGTTATAAATTGAGTACAATATATAGCAAATATTGGATTCTCTTTGTTCCAATCATTCTTTTTTCCATATCTTCTTTTCACAAAAATTTACGTAAATAAATTTTTATGAAAAAGATAATTAAGGATAAGCTCTTTTACTAAATTCATTTTTTTTCTTTGTTAAGAGAATTTACAAAGCACTATTTGGTTCTTGTAATGATATATTTGTAATGTGAAAACTTTTCGAATCAATGACAGTTACAGTATTGCCTCGTGAGGATATTTGTGGTAAAATAATATATATATATATATATATA